TAAAATTATAAATAACATTTAATCTTGGCAAATCTAATGCAAACTATATGCAGACCGTTCATAAATAAATTATTCATAATATCGATATATTGGTATAACAAAAATTATTTCGAGCAGAATATATCACGAGCACTAAAAAACGATATTATATCAACTGCATTATTTTAATTAATAATAATTTTGTTAATTCAATAATAGTATTAATGAAAAACAAATACGCTATCCTCTTGTATTAATAAAATTTATTTCACTAATACTATTACTAAATTAACAAAATTATTTTCAATTAAAATAATGCTATCTAATGTAACATCATTTTTTTCAGTGTAGCATTTATATTTTAGTGCAATATATTTATGTGTGGTTCAGTATTTTATCCGAAAACCGTATCGCAATACTAAGATTTATTTAAATAAAGTATTTGTATAAACAAAATAAAAAAAATTGTCAGTTAAAAGTAATTAAAGTATCATATGGAAAATTTTTGCACTTTTAAGTAATATAAAAAAGAGATTATAGAATCGAATAAAATCCATGTAGAAAAACAAAAATTATTTAAATTATTTGAATCAAAGCGCGCGCGCACACACGAGCGAAGCAAATCATTTAAACTATAAATGACAATATCCGTGATACTAATACACAACAAATAGTAACAGATAGAAATTGAGTTTACTAGAAACAAATAAGCGTATCAATCGAAATCATTTTGCTGCTTGAATTATATATTATTGGCTCAAGGAAACTGTTTATGGGATCAATTTGGTTATTCGTCGAAGAAAGCTCGGAAGTGTTAAAGATGCCGACGCTGTCAAACACTCGTCTGTTTATATTAAACGCGAAATTGTTAGTGAATATTTAACATATATATTATTTAGCTCTATATATATATGTATATATATATATATATATATATATACATTCGTAGCTAAATCTTTAAATAGAAACAATCAAGAAATAACTACGATAGTTTCATTACATTGTTCTCAAGAATAAATATCATCCGCTTAACTTTTTAGTCATTGATTTATTCATTTGCGTGTTTCAATACGTTTAAGAGTCCGAGTTTAACAATAATTTTAAGTGATGTAATTAATACATAAATAAATTGAATGAGATTTGAAAATGGTATCACGTACCTACATATTTGGTCTTACTTCAAAATTCATCAAGCAATACGATCGAAAAGAGTGCGCGATGTTTAGAATATTACGTTTATCATTCAATTACAAATGTTATTTTATTATCACACACGTGTTATCGATACATGTGGTTACGTTATACTATCGTCAATTGAACATAGTGAATAGCAAAATATACATATCGCGACGTATCCACATCCTCGCTTACGGACAAAAATAATCTTTATGAAGAAAAATAACTACAACCGAATTTTTGCATTTACACGCTAGAATAATAAAATTAATGTAGCAACAATAAGCAATAAGAATCACATGTAATAAAAAGTCAATCCAAATATTTCTCATTGTTTATGTAAGTACAATCATCTGATTCTAGAACTACACACTTCTTACATTTTTAGCTACATCTTCGATGCAATCGAGATTATTAAGATTTTTACTAATTTAAACAGATTGAGCATAGCAATCCGCAACTTTATACAACTTTTGCAAAATACGGGAGTATAGAATAACAACATATGTAGTCAGAGATTAAAATCTCATATAGAGAGAGTTTGCAATTATCTCCCAAAAATGTGCATAAATAAATCTTTTACATTTTACCTCAGATATAAGAAAATCCCTTTAGTGTTAAAAAAATTATTTGTTTGTATCAGGATAATAATTTTATTAGTAATAAATATATGAATTCGAAATATTAAAACCTGCACGTGTAACGAATATGTTAAAGTTTCTTCCATCCAAGATAATACCATTTCTAAAAAGAAATAACAATTCATCATGTTTTTGTTATTATTCTTTTATCTTTTTTGATGACTATGGAAATAATTATTTAAAAAATAAACATTAAAATATATATTTAGGGAAACGATGATATAAATTATTGATTTCTTTAAATTTTGGTTTATTTTTTGGAATTAAAAATAATTATCCAAATTTAAAATCGAATATTAAATCATTTACAGAAATGTTTGTATTACTTCGGAAGATTTTTCAGTCTGCATTTTTTTAACTCATGCCATTAATCGGTCGTGCCTATTGCAAAGAAGCTTCGTATTTTATACGAAGGTTTAAACGGCAAAACCGTTTAATCAGATTGCGAGTCGTGTTGCGTGCTCATTAATTTATTCACATTAATTAGCGAAAAAATAGACGACTCGTAAGTTTCTGGATGTTCTTTCTTACAATCGATACATACTTAGGCTGCAACGAAGAGTAAAGCTAAAAGCTAAGAACGCACAAGCTGATTAGTGTTACGTGATCGCATACGACAGTCACTCATAGTTACAGTAGTAGTTCATGTATGCAAAATAATATAAATCTTGCAAAATTTCTTTACATAACAATCTGTAGTTAAATCAGATACATTGTTAATCGGAGTACAAACACTTCCGTCTTAAATGCGCAATTCCTTATTACTGCATCGGAGTTAAATAATAGATCAGCATGTTCGGCCATGTAATGTAATACTATTTTATTCATGCAATAAACATATAACCAGTCCTATCCATCCCTATCACAAAACTGAGTCATAGTAGGAAACAAAATCTCACTTAAAAGATAAATGTATCACAAATATTGTGTCTGATGACCAGATTAACGTTATGAGAAAGAGAGTGAGAGAGAGAGAGAGAGAGAGAGAGAGAGAGAGAGAGAGAGAGAGAGAGAGTGATAAAGATGAGCGTGACTAGTATATTGTTACATTATCGTCATTACAAAAGTATTAAACTTATAAAATCTACAACGCGCAGTTTGGTTAATTCTTATAAGATTTGACTGCAAAAATTTGTTAAACTAACAATTCTATAATTATCGCGCAATGTCAAATCATTGGCATATATTAAGAAGAGATATTACGAAAAATTATATTCTCGAAAAAATTCAAAGATTATTACTACTTCAATTATTCTACAGAATACTTTACATTTTATAAAAAAATTTTAAGTTCCCGAATAGAATTCAGATATTTGTAAACTTGCAATTTTTGGCATGGTACAGATGTTTTCATCATTCTTGTGTAGAAATGCGATAATTTATTACGAGATTAATATATTTTACCATAACTAATATTTTTATAACAAATACATGATATTGGATTTTACACTCATATACGTAATGCGTTTTGTAATAATGAATTATAACACGAATATTAACAGATCAATTATATGAATAAGTATATATGTATGCTCTCTTTTTATGAGGTATATAACAATTTTTTAAAACACGATGTAAAATATATCACATGAACGGCGTTAATAACAAATAGTCACTGATGATTTTCGCAATTCATCGTTATAAAGCGATAATATAGTATTAATGGAATATACAACTCGATAAACTGCCATTGTAAAAGTAGAGAAGAAAGATATAAATAAATATTATATACAACTAAAATATATGATACACTCATATGTAATAATATTGAAACATTATCTATTTATCTTCGAAGATCAATGAGAACATAATACAACGCAATTATTTACTCTCTTAAAACTTTTAGAGTGTGAATCTCACTTTTAAAAAGATTGAAAATTAAGTTATTCTTTTCCAAGACACAAAGTTCAAAATTTTCACTTTTTAAACTGAGAGATTCTACTCTACAAAGAACTTAGAAAGTAGTATTAATCTTATTTAAAATAAAATCCATTAAAAATGTTATCCGTTAAGAATAAAGATTATAATAATTATTTTGTGCTTCTCACTTGTACAGTCACTGACGTATTAATATAAATAGTATTTAAACTTTCATATGTGGAAGTACTTAACATGTAATTAAATTTATAAAACATTAGCATATACGATAAATAATATAAATGCTTTTAATCCTTCTTTAAAAAAATTAAAGTAAAGAAAGATGCTAAATCGATCGAGACAATACAATTCAATTCAATTGAACACAAAGTCAGCACATGATCAGACTCTGTAAATTTTTTTATCTATTAAAAAAGTACACGGTATATTCATTCTTATAATACTGTAAATACAATCTTAGTGTTATGCTGACTTTTGCATCAATAATTCCAAGCTGTGTGTTGCAAGTTTTAATGTGTATCTAAAGGTATTAAATTATAATTATTAAAAGAAACTTTTTACTTTTCAGTTCTTAAACGCAATCTTATCGATAAACTTATTATCTGGAATGCTGCGTCCATAATACTTTTGCTTCGACTTTCATAAGTCAATTTCATTTAATCGACACTTGCTTTTGTTACAATGCATCTGTTCAGTTGACAAGCACGATATTAATGTGATTGATATATGATTTCATTGTGCTAAATAATGGCAGGTTAAGCTGAAAAAAGTCTCAAACATAGCATAATAATTTGTAAAACTTGTTATAGAAGAAAATGAAAGAATCGTACAGATGGAAGAAATTATTTTTAAAATTTTGACGAGTCACGTACAAATGTTATTGGTTAATACTTTACTTCGTCATACAAAAGAATTGTATATAAAAACTTGGAATTTTTTCTTTTATGAATCACACAAACTTGTATAGATAAGAGAAAAACGTGTTATAAAAGTCTCATAAACGTGTTATTACTGATGCAGTTAATAAAGCGTATTGAGTTTCTTTTTTCTTTCGTTGTTAATTCAAGATACGCAATTAAAATGAATGCAGAAAGATATGACCAACTCAATAAAAGTGTGTTTTGTATCTATAAATTCATATAGTTCTCTTTATAAATTATGAACTTTATAAATTATAAAAAGTTCTTTACGTCTTACATGTGTACAACTGTATGTAATATGGGATTTTTTTTCAATACTTGTCCAATGAAGAAACAGAAAGGAACCTCATTCATTTCATTCAATTCATAGCCATTAGCACAGTACAAATTAAGAGCCTAGCAAAACTTAAACTTTTTCTAAAGCATCAATCGCTTCGCCATTAGCCATTCTATTACTAGCTTTGTGTCGATGATTGTACATAGTCTGCAGAGGTACATGAAGTAACTCCACAATCTGAATAAAGTTAGGCTCTGCAACAAAAATGAACAAATTAGTATTATACGACACTTTTGGTAAATTGTATTCAACAACTTTTGAACGAATTATATGATCAGCTATATCTTACCATTCTCTGCTGTAATGTATCCATGTCTAATTAAGAAGTCAAGGGCAACTGGTACAGAAGTGGTTTTGAAATGTGGAGAAAGTATCCTCTCTAAGCATTCACTAACGGGGAGTAATTCGAAGGTCTCTACTTCTCCATCACTATTATTCGGTACAAAGTCGGGCGGCAGTTCAAGATCATATACAAATTCCGTGTTCGGAAACAGACCTCTCTCGCTTTCAAAGAAGAATGATACGCAGCCGGCGCTCTTAAGCTTAGCAATGAGATGATTCGGAATGCCAGCTTCTTCCCCAGCTTCTTTTATCGCGGTTTCATTTATACCGTAACCAACACTCAATCCACCGCTCACCATACTATCCCAATACGCTGGCCATGTCTGTTTATCCGGACTACGCTTTTGTAACCATATTGACAAGCCCTTGATAGGATCCATTACATAGCCATTTATATCCACTCCATATTTCCGAATTCCAAATAAACCTATAATTTTAAAAAGCATATGTAACATATACTGTGATTGATTATGATATTTATTTATCTCATATTCTTTTAAAACAATGGCACATAAAAAAACTTGAGCAGTAAGAAAATCAACATGCTGAATTTGTTACTCTACTTAAGTTATCGTCTTATAATTTATTGCTTAAACTTTTTTTTATGTCTTTTATGGCTTTATACGTACATGTAGCTGAGCGATCCATCTTAAACAATGGTAGTGTATTAAATTGTGCACGCACTTCATAACATTCCTCTCTCCAGCCTCGTAACGTTACAAATTTTCCACCGTCCATCCACTCCCTTAATACTTCATCGACACGTGCACTTCTTTCAGCATAATCCCGAAAGGCTGGATTTAATTGCACATATTCAGGATGTACTTGAAATACCTTGAAAATTAATGTTACTATACATATGTCTACATGTATATTAATAAAAAGAAGTTAAAACAAACTCACTCGAGGATGATTTAATATTTCCTTCATCACATCTGGACGAACAAGTCCAATTTGCTGTCCATCTACGACAAAAGCTCTGCATTCTCCTGCATGTAAACCTAAGAAATTGATGTATTTTTTCGTAATTTATAGAAATACAATTTTTGTCCTAAATGTATCATAATTTTGTTCTATATGTAATAAAAGAATAAATATTTTTCATTAAAAAAAATTGATTGTCGTTGAAAGTTTTGTTAGAAAAGAGAATAGGATATCGGGATAACAAATATTTATACAAATTTCCAAATGTAAACTTAGCCAAGTTGCATTTTTCTTAGCTCAGAAGTAAGTTATAGTCGAAGTTTTCGCGATGCATGGCGATCTCCCTAACGAGCGTACTCGGAATAAGCATTTTAGGTCGATTAGGTGTATCTGTCGTTACAAAAAAAAAGTTTAAAACGATTTTGGAGCAGTTATTCCGTGGGATAGGCCGTCCGTCATCGACGACGCAAAATGCGACGGGAACGCGACGGAGGCGCGCGCGGCCCGTCGATAATCGCGCCCATGATTCGCGTCGGGGGATCCTCATTTTTTTTTTCCTTCTCCACCCTATTATTTTCCTTCGAAACGCGAATGGCAAATACACACACGAGCGCGAGATCGATATTCTCGGCGATCCGTGCGAATGACTGTCGCCGTTCGCTCCGTCGTCGATGACGCCGCCGGGAGACGCGTCGCCGGGGACAATTTGTAGCGGCGCGAGCCGTCGCGTAACGCTTACCTGACAGGTAGAAGCAATTGAACTTGTTAGCGAGTTTCATTAAACGTGACATCGGCTTCTTATCGTTATCCGCCATGATGTTACGTCGTTGTCATCCGGCCAGCTGCGACGAAAACCCTGGCATCGAGCACATAACGCGTGTCAGACAGGCGCCCCAGGAGACGATACTTTCCACAGAGACTGTTGTGGACTGTTGCGCCCCACGGGAGGCGCGTGCCGCGATTGGCCGGTCTGTCGGCGGCGCGAGCTGCGCCGGCCAATCAACGGCCGCCACTCTGCGCTACTCGGATGCCGCTACGCCGCCGCTCGTTCAATCGGCATACCGCCGAGGACGACCGAAGCGTAACGACGAAATGGAGGGAACGCGAGAATTTCGATTATGGAATCAAGCGGAATCGATCTCCCCTTCTCCTCTCGTCGCAAGACTAAACTAAACGTAATCGCTTTATTATTTACTTCAATTTCTCGTCTTGACCTGACCAGTGTTGCCAGTATGGGCGATTTATCGCAAATTGGGCTACTTCAAAGCGCGATTTGCGACTGAAATTTGCGATTTGCGACTTTTTGGGCTACGGATACTAATATAGTAACAGGCGAATTGGGCTACCACGAGCGCTATGAAAATTAGGCGACATTATTTTTTTAAATACTGGCAACACTGTTGACCTCTTATATCTTCTCCTTATCGTTCTTTTATTTTCTCGAAAATGAGGGTAGATACGAATTTATCACGCAGTAATATGGCGCTCGAGGCTCGAGCGCGCATACGGGTGTGTCTCGGAAACGCCACGGTCTTTTTTTGCGAAAGTCTCGGTGAGTCTTGAACAGTCGCTTGATATCGTCAAGTTCTTAGCGAAATGATTAAAGATGATATATGGTCAATACTTTTATATCGCTGGCCTTTTTTTTGCGCAATGCGCGTGTAGCTGTTGAATTTGAGAGCGTCAAGGCTACTGCATATACAGTCGAATACAAAAGTATAATATGAAGCACAACTTTACGAATTTACGCCATTGCGAGGTTTGCGTTTTTTCATCTTTCTCTCGGAAATATTCTACACGATTTTGTCGCAAACAGAATAAGTCACGTCAAAAGATGTTAAAATGATTGAAAAGTGACTCTCAGTTTCAATGATTTTGGAGCCATTTTGATGTCATTTTGATGTCGCGATGACTTGCACGCGTTCTGATGCTTAGGATGCGTTTATAAAATGCAATGTCGTAATTGCGTACATTCTTGCAAGGAAAACTAGAAAGTCAAAATAATATCAAATTAACGTTATATTAACCGATTATTAATAGACTTTATGTGTCATTTCTTTTGTCATGATTCTCTCTCAATCAATATGATATTATTTTGACTTTCTTGTTCTCCTTGGCCGCGTTCAGTAGAACGTTTATTTTGCAGCTGATTAAAATAAGTTTTCTTCGCGTTGACTGAATTGTACTTTTAAAGCACTAAAAATATTCAAATAGAAGGCTGTTTCATTTCTTATTACTACGCCAACTTCTAATAGCCTCCCTTTTTAGTACTTTTTACATTTTAATTGTCAAGAATTTTATTTATTGATTTTTGTATCGTGACAATTATCCAGTCTCGATATAAACTAAATAAAAAGTAACGTGTATAATCAATTTAATGTTATAATTTCGCATTCAATAATACGTAATTTATATATATATACAGCCTAAAATATCTAATTAATTAGTTTTATTTTTTATTATACTTTTAGATTTAGAGGAATAATCCTATTTTATTTTTAGCAAAGAACACTTCTAACAGTTGCAAAATAAACATGCTACCGAACGTGGCCATGCATTTTTAATTGTGTAGGTTCTAGTTTTTCCAGTATTGTATACTTCAGTAGAAAATTGTAACTGCGTCGTGTGCTAAATTCTCGAGGGTACTTACATATAATATATAATAGTCGAATATAAAAGTCTATTTTCTTATCTGAACGTTTCCACTTTAAATTATTCTCACTTATATTATAAATGCAAATTTAAGACACGTAATACAAATTTAATTTCTGATAAGCCGGTCTACGAGGAAAATATGCGATGAGGACCTTTGACAAAATACTTTGATTAATTTATTTTAACGTGAATAAAAGTATTAATTTCTTTTGATTGTTGGACACGTGAAATAAAAAAAAATATCAGATATCGGATATTATATGAATCGTAAAATCGAAAAATTGTCTGCAAGTTGTTTTACTGATTGAATTAATTAATATATAATCAGAGTTCGAAATAACGTTAAAACGATCGATGAAAAAAAAATTATTTTTCGTCTGTAAAAAAAGATTCTCTTTATATCAAATGCTGATTTAGTATATAAAAAAATTTAGTATATAAAAAAAGATTTTTTAATGAAACTTAGGCCCCCTGTTCTTACATCACGATATCTTTGAGGGATAAAAATTTTATTAAAAAAAAGAAAGTTTCTTTCTCTTGCTGATTATTGGTTATTTTACCTTACGAATAAATTTCCAGATTGCTCCACCAGATGTCACTAAGAGTACCGTTGAGTGTTCGAAATCCGTTTTCCGTTCACGTGGAATTGGAGTCGTTGGAGTCCGGTGTTGACGACGTCGGTTTGTTGTCTTCGTGTCGTTTAGGAGCACGTCTTACCGGTTAAATAAAGGTAATAGTAAATTATTTGCAATGCCAGAAACATCAGAATCAGACTCCGAGTACAATTCGTCCGATGAGGAGGTGAGTATCACGATTTCCTTGTGCGCTTACCACTTATATCGTGTGTATTCTAACCTCATTTAATTCACGTGTTCCAGCTACAAGAAGCCTTGGCGAAAGGATTATTAAAGCCAGGACTCAATGTAGCAGTCAAGACAAGTGGCAAGCAGTCCAAGAATTGCATCGTGAGTGATTGTTTTATCAATTATCAAATTACTACGTTTGGAATTCTTTGACATAACTATCTAACATTTTCTGTAAACAAATTTTAGAGTCTCATGAAACAAAAATTGAATGAAATAAAGCTAAACTTGCCATGGGTCGAGAGGCTGGATATGGTAAACGCACTTGCACCATTGGCACCAGAATTAGCACTTCAAATGCAAGAGCAAGAAGTAAGACGGGCTAAGCAGCTACAGGGGAATAGAAAGTTACCTCAATATGAGCCATCTGAGGATCCTGTTCTGAATGACTTTCGCAGAGAGAACATGTTTCACCGTCAAGCTCAGGGTGCTGTTATGGAAGGTATTAATAAATTAAAAAAGCTTGGCATACTGACGTCTAGACCTGATGATTATTTTGCCGAGATGGCCAAATCTGACGAGCACATGCAAAAAGTACAAGAAAATCTAATGAAGAAGAAGACGATAGCTGAAAGATCGGAAAAAGTGAGACAGTTGAGACAACAGAAAAAGGTTGCAAAGAAAATGCAAGTTGAGGCAACTTTAAAGAAACATGCAGACAAAAGAAAATTGATGGATGAGGTTAAAAAATATCGTAAAGGTATTCGAAAGGATCTCGATTTCTTGGATGATAAAAAGAAACCACAAAGTAAACCGCAACAAGATAAACCACACATAAATCGCAAGATAAATTGGAAGGCGCAAATAAAGTCTAATAAATATGGTTATGGAGGTAAAAAACGTGGTAGCAAATGGAATACAAAGAGTAGTTCAGCTGATGTTTCTGAGTACAGACGACCAGGAAAACCAAAACAAGGCAAAAGAGGAAATGGTGGAAAGGGGAAGCACACACAAAGATTTGGCAAAAATCGTAGAATGCGAATGAAAGCAAAGAGGAAATGATGAAGGATCTTTAGTCAGTATGTATCGCCAGTAATAATCATATGTTACATATTATATGTTGTACGTATGCTATATGATTATTACATATTATATGTATATTGCATTTTTTTTGTACAAAATTATACGATAAAATAAATTACATGATGCTATTTACTTTCCTGTCTTACCTATCATCCAGAAATTTAGCGAAACATCGAAAAACATAACGGTCGGTGTCAATTTTTTTTGGTAATTAGACCCGAACTTTTCTGCATTAAAATTTTATTCCAAACGCTGCAACGTTCAGATTCATAAATACGTTATGCAAATTTATGGTATAGTTTTATATTATTTTTGACATTATATACAATGGCACTTAATAAGTGATATTTAATATCTTATTTTAATAATAATAATTATTATTTATTTATTACGTAGTTGTTAATCAACACAGTCGACGACTTTAAAATTAGAATTAAAATTTTATCGATCACACGCATCGCCATGAATTTCAATTGAAAACCGCGACAAAGAATTGTCTCCCTTAAATTTTCGCTCAATAACGGAAAAGAGAGCTCGCCTCAACGTGAAATTCGTGCTGCAGAATACGAGTATCTAACACATGTCCCGCATTAGACAATCCGTTGTATGTACACACGGTGCTACACGCGTAGGATACCGATTACATCGTCTATTACACCCTCCCGTGAATCGTGCGCACCGATACACACGTATGTGAACGCGCTCTCGCGATGCTCCTCATTCCCCGTGCGAATGGTCCGCCGTTTCTGCCGGCTATCGGCGGTTGATCCATCGATAGATATATCCCGATATCGATAACGATCCGGATCTGTCGTCGTTCCTCCTGTAGGCCGGGTCTATCGTGAACGTGCCTTGGCGAGCGCGGATTGAAAATTCGAGAGGTGTACCGTACATGCGCACATGTAGGAAGTATATATGTATACTAGGTGATTTAGTTTAGAAAGATGAAAAAAAATTTATTCTCTATGGGTTTACTATATAAATAAGACGAAATTTAATTCTGAGAATTAATTAATATTTACAAGTATAAAGAATAATAGAATATATCCTGTTTTATTTATATTCTATGCTGGATAATAAAAGACTTAATATATTTCTAAAATTTAAATAGAATCTTTGAATTAATTTTAAAATAAGACGTGCTTAAATTAACTAGTTATTTTAATTGCTGTCACATTATCAAGTTGAGACGAAATTATATTATAAATTATAAAAGCGTTATCTCAAGTGATATAATTATCAAACTTGGATATATACCCATCTGGATCACCCAGGATGAACGCGCTTCACGTTCGTCGATGCTTTGGATTGTCGAAGTACGAGGTGGTTCACAGAATATTGGATAATACGTGTGATTGGGCTCTGAATGTATACGACTTGTTATTTGACGAGCGGAAATACCCCGTTTGCGAGTTGCGTACATAAGGCTCGTATCCTCCATCCACGGGCCTAGATGCATGCACGTTATATGTACATGTATGTACATATATGTATATCACACGTACAGTCGGTTACTATAAAAGGTTGCAACACTTTTTAATTCGATGGTTTTCGGAATTCGCAAAAATTCTGACAGAGCAGTCCAGCATCTCTGATCGCTTATATTTAATGGTTATGATAGGTTACGAAAATTGTCAAAGTGATGTAGAATCGTCTTGTACACGGTGAAATAAAAAAAATGTATTTTGCGCAGCGGACAGTTCTTATAAAGATACCCTTCGGATACCGTAAAATATATCGTAGTAAATAATAATGAAGTAAACGCTGTTTTATAAATTTATTTGACCTGAGAAGTATATTTATTTTTTATAATTTTTTATAAATTTATTTATATTTTCAAAAATAATAAATATTAAACAATAATTATTAACATTAATAATTATTTTTAATAATAATAAACACAGCAGTAATACAACAATAAGAACAATAAGAACTTTACGCAGTTCTTCGCCTGCGCATCTGCCTCCGATGCCAGAAATTTTTCTGCACATCTCCAGAGGAACAGGAGAATCGACCATCTAAATTCCATCTAAATTACGTATTAATATAATCATTTATTTCATAATATTGTATTTGCTGATACTTTATATTTTAATTATGTATTTTTAATTTACAGTAATGCTTTAATTAAGTTACATATTTCTACCTGCAACGCGCGTGTGTCGATGAGTATATAATAACAGCAATGGACCTCGTTACTATCATTGCGTTGGCACAGGATACTATGATTCTAAGTATTTAATATAAAAAATAATATAAATAATTTATACACTATATATGCTGTATATAATATATGAATAACTTTGTTATACTACTTTATTCAGAATATCTTACCGAAGACGAGTGTTGATTAGATGCTGACAGGAAGTAGATATATTAGATGCTGACAGGAAGCAGATATATTAGATGCTGACAGGAAGCAGATATAGTGACGGCGAGATGGTGGTAATTATATATAAAAAGGGGCAATTGCTATTTCGAATGGCTTTCGGTTCGGGTGCTTTTCATTGTATATTTTTGAAAGTGTTGCCGACATTGACTGTGCATTGTACCTCACACATGCGTGTCCGCGGATGAGCTCGTCTCGATTGTTCGTCATTTTGCACCTTTCGACGACTAGGGCTCTCATGACGCGCGTTATTGCGACGTGACGACGCCGTAGACGTAGGTGCCCGGAGATCGGTCGAGCAACGTCATTTTCGCGGGCATTGCATCACTCGTTCGTTTCCACTATTTTGTACGATATACTTTTGAGACGTGATCTGGCCGTATCGACCTCCTATTACATTTACTGGAGGCGGGTGCCATTAATTTAAGAAGAAGAAGAAGTCTTCGGTAAGATATTCTGAATAAAGTAGTATATTAAAGTTATTCATATATTATATACAGCATATATATAGTATTTAAATTATTTATATTATTTTTTACATTAAATACTTACTTAGAATCATAGTATCCTGTGCCAACGTAATGATAGTAAAGAATTAACGAGGTCCATTGCTGTTATTATATACTATCGACACACGCGCGTTGCAGGTAGAAATATGTAACTTAATTAAAGCATTACTGTAAATTAAAAATACATAATTAAAATATAAAGTATCAGCAAATACAATATTATGAAATAAATGATTATATTAATACGTAATTTAGATGGAATTTAGATGGTCGATTCTCCTGTTCCTCTGGAGATGTGCAGAAAAATTTCTGGCATCGGAGGCAGATGCGCAGGCGAAGAACTGCGTAAAGTTCTTATTGTTCTTATTGTTGTATTACTGCTGTGTTTATTATTATTAAAAATAATTATTAATGTTAATAATTATTGTTTAATATTTATTATTGTATAATATTATTGTTAATTATTGTTTCATATTTATTATTTTTGAAAATATAAATAAATTTATAAAGCAGCGTTTACTTCATTATTACTTACTACGATATATTTTATGGTATCCGAAGGGTATCTATAAGAATTGTCCGCTGCGCAAAATACATTTTATTTATTTCACCGTGTACAAGACGATTCTGCATCACTTTGACAATTTTCGTAATCTATCATAACCACTGAATATAAGCGATCAGAGATGCTGGACTGCTCTGTCAGAATTCTTGCTAGTTCCGAAAACCATCGAATTAAAAAGTGTTGCAACCTTTTAGTAATCAATTACATCGCAAGGTGCATACGTTGTGTGATTGTATAACTCTCCAAACTTTAAATAAATACATACAAATAATACTTTTAAAAAGTAGTAACTATATATGTATTAAAAAGCATAGTTAAATACACAGCTAATTATATATGAATTTTAGATGAATCTCAATTTCAAAATGAAATTTGATTTTTTAGTAACATTTTTTGTGTAATTAAGTTTATGCAGTGTAGAGGATCTATAATTTACACACGGAAAGGATGATTTTGCTAAATATAAAAATTTTGTTAGATTTAAAAATAATTTTGTTGAACCATCAAAATAATTACACAGAAATCTCAAATATGATTAGCAAAATTTTGACATTCTAGCAACCAATTTAAACAGTCTACATACTTAATTATATATTATTTTAATGGATTAATAAAATATTTTTAGATTTGTTCTAATTAAATTATAGCAAAACCATTCTAATTAAATTTGAACGAAACCGTTCTTTTCGGGTAATTAAATTTCGAACTTTAGAAACTAGGATATATTAAGTTTATTAGATCTGATAGAAAATAGAAGGGTATAGGTACATGAAATGCATTTTCGAAAACACATTTTTTTTTATTGCGTTTGCCGCGGGTTATTATATTTAAATCCCGGCAGCATTTCCTTCGATGCATCGTTCTTCGTTCCCATTGATCCGAGCGCACGAGAGCTCACTCTGGGAATCCGTTATCCTCGTAACAGCTGTTTTCGTCCCGGCTTTCGACGTGTTTTCACCTTTTTTGCACGGTCCGAATCTAGGCAATTACATACGTGTCAGGGGTGACGTGTGCGTGTATAGTCGGTACGCTGTTGGTACGCGCTCGCTTTCTTATTCTGTCTGTCCCTTCCGTCTGCATTTCGCGTACAGCGTATGCTCCATTTGACGCGCGTCCGAACATCCGTACAAACGGCCGAAGTCTAGATCGCGGAGAATAGACGAGAAATTTATTCGGTGGTTATAACTAGAGTCTCTAGTCTCTCTAATTTGATACGGAAATAAGAGAGAAGGAGAGAGAGAGAGAGAGAGAGAGAGAGAGTAGGGAAATCGTTTAATCTCATTTTCTGTTCCTGTCCAAGGTACGGATAAATTTGCGGACGCCCAAATTCGACCAGACGTATATCTGTACTCTGAATCGTCATATTTATAGCCGGGATATATATACAATATTTCCGGACTTGTCGCGATTTTGCGGAATAAATCCGAGGTCTTTTTTTTATCCGTGCATTCGCGCGCGTACATATGCGCATATGTATGGAAACGTGTGGAAGGTACCCAGACGAATATGGGCGCATC